CGTGCCAACTACTATGATGCTCTCTATACTAGCCACTCCTCAAAAATGTTACACAGGGTTGCTATGGATTGGAAACAACTCAAAGGCACATAACAACAACAATATAGTGAAAGCTTTAAACATCAGAAGGTAGAAGCACTAACCGTCAAGTCTGCTAGTGAATGACAGGGTAACTTGTCCTACTGGAACTTCTCTGCCTATAGTTCTTCTCCTCTTAGGATAATCCCTTATGCCATTTATAGGGTAAGAAAGCAAAGCATATAACACATCAATTTCTACTATCCATTTACATGCGAATGCAACAACAACAATACATGAAGTTTGTCACTTTATCTCCTTCCCCCACTGTAAACCATTTCAAACTCTAGCATTTGAGTACAAGTATCCTCAAATCACCATGAGGGAAACATTATATCTTTGAAGTATCTTATCTTTACAAATATCCTTAAAAACTAGTCTAGGAGAAAAAACAAAACAAAACATGGGCAAGATGTATAGAATTCTGAGGTGATTATTGAGAATTGTCTCCCAACATCAAGTATGATAGTAAAAATTATTTTAAAAAATTACAATAACAATTTATGATAATTGGTCAACATATTTTAAGGGAGGTAGCTTTCAGCTCTGGAATTCCTGATACCTGTAAGCCTCTGACTTGTAGTTTAGGGCAAGTCTGTTCCTAGTGTCTTCACTTGTCAATGAAAAGATAACGTGAACATTTCTGCACTTGCAAATACACATAAACATGTTGTTTCTAACTCCTCTTTCTAGTCAAAGTTGTCTTATAATGGAATGTTTTCTTCTGTGACCAAAAGCCAACTGCATGTATACCTGTTGAAATGTTCAACTGTGAATACAGAGTTACAAATTTACCCAAGTTCAGGTTCAGTTTTAAAATATAAGTAAATTTAATATCGTTCCTACATTAAACAGAAGTCTTCCAGACTCTGAGTTGTAAGTTAAAGAGAATCTGAACAGAAGGTTTTCTTGAGCAATAACTGAAATTCATGTATATATGATATATTAACATACTTTTTTTTTTTTTTAACAGTGGTATATTTATAACTCTTGGCCTGACATTTTGAGATTTTGTTCCCCCTCCCCCCCAACATTCTAGGTACTGCCAAATATACTTGATATTAATAGGCTTAAACTCATATAAATCAGTTGTCTTGGTAATGTTTTTTATTGTGATCATATGGTTACTAAAAGCATCTTTAGCATTTTATATTAAATTTCCCCTGTATGCTTCTAAAATTTTCTAAGAGAACATGGTTAAGTAATTGTTCAGGAAACTTATAAAAGTTTTAACCTTATGATCAAAATCAATAAGAACTATTTTTAAGTGTTTTTTAAAAATATATATTAACTTAAAACCTTAGAATTTGCTCTAGATTTGATGAGGCCTTTATATAAATGAGACACCTTTCAAAATCTATATTATCCTGCAAGGAGGAGGCCTGCTGCAGAGAGAAAGCAACCGCTATCTCAGACAATATAAAACAGAAATGGTTTGACAGGTGTCTATATAAACTCTGTATAAAAAGCATGGCCCTGGCCTGACAATGCTGAGTCTTTTCTATAGCCGCTTCTAAGGTAGCTTATTGACTTTTGTGACTTTGCTGCTGCATGTTAATATTTTTCACTAGATTAAGAATATTAATTTAATGATAGCTCACAAAAATTGATTTACAGGCACCTTGATCTTCCCTTGGCTAGATCTGGATTGCCCTTTTTTAATAAGACAAAAGAAAGACTGAAAAAGTGTGCCCTGAACCCTGTTTGTAATTTTGTATCAAACAACAATTCTTAAACTAGATACTGGTTCTTCTAAGCTAAAATTTCTAAAGTATACATGTTATAAATAAATGAATATAATTACTTGTTGGGAACCTAGTTTTCTCAATTATCATTACATGTTTCATTCAGTGTTTTATTTTATTTTTTTAATTATTATATATATATTTAAATAATTGTTTTGTTTTTTCTATCATTTAAATTATGATATAAATCCCTGTCTAGAAGGAATTTTACAATGCTATTAACCACTAATCAGATGTGTCCTATTCACATAGATATTTAAATAATATGAATTTGATTACCTTTCCAAAGACTAAATGCTGCAGGGAAAATATTGGCATTACACAGCTATCTAATCGCTAGGATGTCTTAATACTGCCTTCTTAAATGATCTTTCAAAAATGGTTGGCACTAAACACTGAATTTGTTTTACCTCAAAATATATTCACACTCGATTTTAAACCATACATGTTTGATTTTTTTTAGAATTAAAAGAAAAAAGGTCAATTGATATCTGTGATTATCCTTTTTTCAAAATTATTTTTAAAAAACATTATAGAACCAGAAAAATTAATTGTAAGCTATATTAAATAATACAAGCAAATAGAATTTAGATAATGTTAACCTAACTGGGAATTGCCAGAAGTGCAAGCCAGCTTCAGATGAGGATGTGGGATGAGGGATATCATTGCTGACGTCAGATGGATCTTGACTGAAAGCAGAGAATACCAGAAAGATGTTTACTTGTACTTTATTGACTACACAAGGGCTTTTGAGTGTGTGGATCATGGCAAGCTATGGACAACATTGTAGAGAGTGTGTATTCTGGACCACTTTATTGTGCTCATGAAGAAACTGTACATAGACCAAGAAGCAGTCAATCATTTGGACAGAAAAAGGGCACACTGATTGGTTTAAAATCAGGAAAGGTGTGCACCAGGGTTATATTCTTTCACCATTTATTTAATATGTATGCTGAGCAAATAATCCAAGAAGCTGGATTATATGAAGAAGAACATAACATTAAGATTGGAAGAAGACTTATTAACAACCTGAGTGAAATATGCAGGTGACACAAACTTACTTGCTAAAAGCAAAGAGGACTTGAAATACTGATGAAGATCAAATTCTACAGCCATCAGTATGAATTCCACCTTAATACTGAAATTGGAAATCCTTACCACTGGACCAATAAATAACATCATGATAAATGGAGAAAAGATTGAAGTTGTCCAAGACTTGATTTTGCTTGGTTCTATTATCAACACTAATGGAAACACCAGTCAATAAATCAAGACTATTTCATTAGGCAAATCTGCTACACAAGACCTCTTTATTTAAAGTGTTCAAGACAAAGATGTCAGTTTAAGGACTAAGGTGTGCCTGACTCAAGCCTTGGTATTTTCAGTAATTTCATATGCATGTCAAAGTTTGGCAGTGAATTAGGAAGACTGTAGAAGAACTGATGCATTTGAGTTAACATGTTGGAAAAGAATATTGAAAGTACCATGGACTAACAGAAGAACAAACAAATCTGTGTTGAAAGAAGTACAGCCAGAATGTTCCTTGGAGACCAGGATGGTGAGACTGTCCCTCATACTTCTGACATATTATCAGGAGGGACCAATCCCTGGAGAAGGACATGGTGCTTGGTAGAGTGGAGGACCCCTGATAAAATGGATTGGCACAGTGACAGCAGCACTGGGTTCAAACGTAACTGTGATTATGAGGATGGCTCAGGATTTGGCAGTGTTTCGTTCTGTTGTGCTATGGGTCAGAACTGACTCAAAAGCACCTGACAAGAAGTGACAGTATTGTACAAAACTACTTAGCTCTGGTGTTGCACTGTATGAGAATCACTGGATTGCCAACTGCAAGGTTTACGATTCAAACCCACCAACCACTTCTCAGAAAACCTGTAGAGGGTTGCTATGAATCAGAACCGACTGGACAGCACTTAACAACAACAACAACATCAACAATAGTATTACACAATCTTAGTATAAGTAGTAGAGTTCAATTATAGAAGAACATAATAAATTTGAAAATTCCATAAATGGAAGAAAGATGTTTTAAGATGTAAAGAAAAAATATTTAAAAAGAGGATAATCTTCTGCACAAGACCTTTTGAAAGTGTTGAAGAGCAAAGATGTCAGCTTGAGGACTAAGGTGCGCCTGACCCAAGCCATGTTATTTTCAATAACCTCATATGGATGCGAAAGCTGGGCAATAAATAAGGAAGACTGGAAAAGAATTGCTGCTTTTGAGTTATGGTGTTGGAGGAGAATATTGAAAGTGCCATGGGCTGCCAAAAGAACAGACAGATCTATGTTAGCCAAAGTGCAGCCAGAGTGCTCCTTGGAGACCAGGATGGCCAAACTTTGTCTCTCATACTTCAAACATTTTGTCAGGAGGGACCAGTCGCTGGAGAAGGATATCATGTTTGGTAAGGTGGGGGGTCAGAGAAAAAGCGGAAGATCCCCAGGGATATGGATTGGCACAGTGACAGTATCATTGGGCTCAAGCGTGGCAACAATTGTGAGGTTGGCCCAGGGTCGGGCAGTGTTTTGTTCTGTTGTGCATAGGGTCCCTAATGGTTGGTACCAACACCATGGCACCTAACAACAACTATAACAACTCAGAACTAAAATTTAAATGTGTACTTTTGTCATTTAAACTGCTGAATTAAATACAGATGATTTAAGGACTGTATTGTTTACTTTATTGTCACAAAATTCTTTCTATTCAGAAAATTTGAAAAAAATTTAAAGAAAAAAACCTATGTGATAGACAATGTTTATAGAAAAAATTGATGCTATGTTTTAATATGTAATTTTTAATAATGAGGTTTATTATTATAACTTGTATTATAGAGAGATAAAATGTTTTTCATTTCTTATATCTGGAGTTTCCTCAGAGTCATAGTTATCAAACAGTTAAAAATACTGAACAAGGAGTCATACAATCTGCATCATTTATTTGCTACAGCACTCACATAATAAGTTAAAGTAATCTCATTTTTTGGGTATGTTTGCATTAAAGAGATACATGAAGTCTTACATATGCAAGCAACAAGTTTTCTTATAAATATATTCTGATATATTCTCTTAATATTGACTGTATATTGTGCAATTTGAAAGATATTTTGTACAAGTTATAAACACTAAATTGTGTGCATCTTAATCTTATTATTTGTGCAGGCTGCCTTAGAGAAAGAATGGTTATCTTTAGATCCCACCCGCTTCCCTTCACAAACACAGCTTCTACCAAACCAGCTGTACTGGCCAAAGGTAACATGTCACAGAAACTTCGTACTGTTGGATCTTTGCTCATTTCTTAAGGTTATGCTATACTGCAGTGATTAATAATAGAATTTATTGACTTGACAAACACAATTACTTTAAGAAGGCTCTGACTTCTTCATCCCCAGATGTAATTTTTCATTGAACTTTTCTTTCATTTGCTTCTAATTTTTTTCTTTATTTTGGATTTCTTTCAACACTTTATTTCACAGTAGCAAAAAAAAAAAAAAAAATGATGTGCTTCAGCTGCATATTTGGCAGTAGACTAAAATCTCTAGTCGACAGCACTTTAAAAATACAAAAAAAGATACGTTAAGAGGGCAACAGCTGAAGGTTCTCAGTCAGAGGTCAATGAACTGTAATATCTGTTATTTATTTGATAAGCTTTGAAGTTTTGTTTTCTAAAATTTTTTCTAGATCTTTGCAATTAATCTTTTTGTATATGCGGACTATGTATTTCTTGCCACTACATCAAAGAACATTGTGTGTATATTTTCTAAATTTTATTTTATTGCAATTTCAAGTTTTTATGATGACTCTTATTAGGAAGCTACTTGGTAATATACATGTCCATGTAATGCAATATAATGCCAGAATTTAAAAATTTACCTTATACTTATTTACTTACATTTTCTTTCTGATAAGTACTCTAGAACCTTAAAATATGATGACACGTCACTTAATTTACCAAGTCATCCAACTCAAGCATGGCTATGCAATGAAAAAGAAAATGTCTTCTCATCCGAAGATACTCAGTTTAATAACAGGTAAGCTAAATTCTTTTAGCAGATCTACCCATAAATGAGAGTCCTGATGTGACTGTAGGATAAGCACTGGACTGCTAACTACAAGGTCAATGGTTCAAACCCACCAGTTGCTCATCAGAAATCCTATACAGGTTCACTCTGTGTCAGAACCGACTCAATGGCACTTAACAACAGCAACCCATGAATGACAAAACATATCACATTCCCTACAAAAGGATGTTGTAAAAAATGCTGAAAATATGTGAGAATTTACATGCTTAGAAGATAGGAAGAACATTTTATGTTGAAAAATTTTACAATGATTTTATGGAGTTTGAGTGTAGGAAAAATGTGACAGGTAGGTGCAGCAAAGCAATTGAATATCCTAAACGTCAGTGATATAATGTAATTAATTGCCGGAAAAAGGTGGACCTTTACTGCTATATATAGGAAGAGATAAGGATTTAAAAAAATCATTGCTGCATTCCTTTTGATAAAAGGATTGAAATATGCTTTAAGTAATTGAAATGTAAACATTTAAAATTAATGGCAGATTTTTATTGCTTTTCAAGATAAAGATTTTTCTGTAACTTAAATGGTTTTTATTTCCTAGTTTGAGACCACATAAACAGCTTGTAGTTTTAAAAAGTGCTAATATCCTTGTGCTGATTCAATTAAAGCTGGGTTTTTGTCTTTTGCCAGATCAGAAAATAGAACATTATCTTGGACACCTGAATCAAAGACCCATAGAAAAAGTTTACTACAATCTGAAAAAGCAAAAAAAATTTCAGAAGAATGGTATGTAATATATTTGACACTAAACAAATAAATTGAAAGACATATTTTTCAAGATTTCGAGAATTCGTGTATAAATTTTTAAGAAACTAATTGATTAAAGTTTTCCTAATTTAGAATCCAAATTTATTTAATATGATTATATATATACATATATATATGGTTATATGTCTTTGTTTTACCATTATTAAATTTAATCTTTTATTAGGGGCTTTAAGGATATTTCTACAGCTCAGCAAATGTTAAAGAGAGCTCAGAAAATGAAATCAAAGAAGTTAAGAGAAAAAAAAGGTAGGTAATCAATGCTCATAGGATAATAATCATATGTGTGTAATGTTGAAGATAAAGTATTTTAAGACATATTTGCCAAATTTTATTTAATATGAACAAAAAATGAGTATTCAGTTATGATTATATTTATGATAATTATTCAGGGAAAAAAGCTTAAGAAAACTTAGAGATCTTTATTTACATTAAGTGATTTGTTATACTTAAAAACCCTTCAATGCTGTTTTCATACTCTTCTTTCTTGTGGACTTAACTGTTTTTTATTGTATCTATTGTGCACTGAGAATTATATTAAAAATTGTTTCTAAGCTGTTTCTGTTTGTACAGTGTTGATTCTAAAGAGCATCTGCTCCATGTGCTTATACCTTTATGAGTTTTTAAATTACTTTGTTGTTCAATAAACCATTTATATAAACTCATCAATTGCACGGCTATTAATAAGAAGGCTTGTCAAGTTGACTCCTTAGGCAAGGGGCATAATTTGTATCTTTTATGAGTTTGTAGAACTCGAAATGGTCATAGACTTCTTGTCTTCTATATTATTTGCTAGGCTCTCTTCACATTAATTGCCTTTCTTTGGACACCTCGAATCATTTTAGTACAACTCTTAATATGTGAAGTTGTTTTAGATCTGAGGGCAAGAAATAGGTTATTATGATATTATAGCTCATTAAAACTATTAAGATTATTCACATTTTTGCTTATATATTTATGTTTACTTTATAACATGTATAAATACAATAGCTTCATATATATTTACTTATGGATTCATTGGCTCAATATAATTAAAATAATCTATTTTTTAATCCTTTGAGGGGTTTTTGTTCATTAGTTTTATTTTAAAGATCTCATTGTCAGTGGAATATTTCCATAAAAGTATTACTAGTCCTGTAAAGAGCAAAAACATTTTACTTATAGTTCTAACTTAAATAAGCATACAAACAAGTATGCATGGAACTTATTTTCATCTTTATTGATTATTCTATTTATTGCTTCTATGGATTTGTTACATAGCAGCAGTCTAGGGATATGTTGTTGTTAAGTGACATTGAGTCGATAGGGATATATATAGATATGTAATTATTTTAAAAAAATAGAAATAAAATAGCCCAAGGACTGCTGGTTTTGCAGGAATAAATTATATTCATTGACATATCACTTACTACTTATTGATAAATTATTAGTGATTAAATTCGACATTTAGAAATGCTCAGTGTTCCTTTTGTATGTTAATACCTTAAAATTTTTTTATCTTTTAAAAATAAATGTAATATAAATTTTTATTATACACTAAAATTTTCCAGCCTTAAAACATTGATATTTTAAAAAGAAGAATACAAATAAAGGCGCTTTTTTAATTTTTTCAACTTTCTTTGTGTTCCTGCACTCTTAATTATTTTGTAAACTCCTACTAAGTGCCTCAGGGCTCTGTGAGCTCAATGCCATGTGGCAATTATCCTGGTGAAATATTAACTCCGAACTCCTGACAATAATTTGACTCTATTTCAGCCCTGGGAATTGGACCCTAGTGCAGTAAATGGGAGTAGCTTGATAAACTCATAGACTGTTTGATATATGCTTTTACTCATCTTCCACAGTATCAATCAACATTCTTTGAATATCAACTCTAATCATAATGACAGTTTCTGAAATTCCTGGGACAAATTCAAATATTATAAGCGGGTTAAAAACAACTTGGTTAATGCTCATAAAGTAATTATTACCTATTTAAGGTCCCCATCAGTGGGAAACCAACAACAACATTTATGTTAAGAAACTTTGCTAGGTTTCCTTCTTTTAGCTAAGTAGTTTTTGTAGTAGCATACAGTAGGTAAGTCTGAGAAACAGTTGATATTGCCAGATTCCAATATGAATCTGTTTCTGGAGTTAAATAGCTCTCCTTGCTAATTCTGATAAACAGAGAGGAATGGAGTTTGTTTTGTTGTGCAAACTGAGTACATTTTTTTATAAATCAGAAAAGTTAGGATATGTTTTAACAAAGAATTCAATAAGGAATCTATGTTATTGTGGCATGCCATCAAGTTGATTCGAACTCATACAGTTGAACTGCCCTGGAAGATTTCCTAGGCTATGAAACACTTATGATAGAAGAGTGCCAAATCTTTTCTTCTGCACAACCCTTGGGTGGGTCTGAACCGCTGACTTTTCAATTGGCAGATAAGAGCTGACTCCCTAAGGGATATAGACTCACGCATAAAAATCATTGATTTAATGATAAAAATTTGGACAATTATTATTAGGCAAAAATTAGACCTCCTTCTATTTGTCACAAGGGGGCATGATAGGTTAACATATGTAAAAGAACATCTAAGTTACAATCACATCTTAAACTTGACGTTTTGCTAGGGGTCATTAAGCGTGACCTGTTAGGTAAAAGTCTTAAAAAGCAATTGGATAATTCTTATGGCGAGTGTTATCTGAATAACATGATTGTAAGCAGAACTGCAAGGTCAGCAGTTCAAAACTATCAGCTGTTCCGTGGAGAAAGATGAGGTTTTCTGCTCCCGTAAAGATTTACAGCGTTGGAAACCCTGTTCAGGGTCGCTATGGGTTGGAACCAACTCCACGGCACTTATCAACAAAAACAACAAAGCAGAATTGCACTCTTACTACTGTGTGAGGTTTTGGTATCTGTGTTAAACTTTTGTGTTGCTTGTGTTTCATCAAAATAAAACCAAGCCATTTTTTTTCTTTTAAATTTTGAAATGTTATTGTTGTTAAGTGCCATTATGAATTTTAACAACATAGGATTAACAAAGAGCAGCTGGTGGGTTTGAACTGCCGACTTGTGTTTCATAGTCTACCACTGATCTTGCAGACCACATGAGGAGTCCTTAAAATTTGAATAGGGAATTGTGAAATAAAATGATGAGCTTTAAATACTTTGCTCTTTTCCCTCACTCTCCTTTTTAACACAGATGCAGATTAGGAGTATTCAAGATGTCTAAAGGTGGGAAACATAAAACAGGCACTCTTGGGATCTTCTCCAATGATCACATTTGACTTTCCTTCTAGTAGCTTGATGATGTAGCACTTAGTCATTTTGTAGCTGTGAACAAATCATTTAAAACTTTGCCTTGGGTTTTCTTTCTGTAACATAGAGAATTTTCTAGTACTTTCCCCAGTTTATTAATTTCTATCAGTCCATAATATGCTATTAATTTATTTTAGTCTGTTTAAAATAATGCAGGAGAAAGATGAGGCTCTCTTCTCCCGTAAAGATTTACAGCCTCAGAAACCCTATAGTGGGTCGCTAAGAGTTAAAATTGACTCAGCGGCACACAATCACCAACCACCAAAATTATGGAAGACCAGAGAACAATCGATGCATTTGATTTGTGGTGTTGGAAATTTTTAAAAGTACCATGGACTTCCAGAAGAACAAACAAAACTGTGTTGGAATTAAAACCAGAATACTACTTGGGAGCCAGGATGAGGAGACTTCATCTGTCACACTTTGGTTATCATGCTTGGTTAAGTGGAAGGTCAGCGAAACAGAGTAAGACACCCGGAAATGGGTTCTCAAACACAACATTGTGAGGAGGGTGCAGGACCAGGCTATGTATCCTACGGTTGTGCATAGTGTTGCTATAAATCGGAACTTACTAGACAAAGCCTAACAACAACAACAACAAAATAGTAGCTATGTTTTAAGTGTTTTACTTGTTAATAAAATGTGTGGTGCTGTAGGATAAGCGCTGGACTTCTAACCTCACGGTTGACAGTTCAAACCCATCAGCCACTCCTCAGAAACCCTAATACAAGGTCACTACGAGCTCTGGCAGCATAGTGGTTATGAGCCATACGGCTAACCTCAAGGACAGCAGTTTGAAACTATCAGCCATTCCACTGGAGAAAGATGAGGTTTTCTGTTCTGATAAAGATTTAAGCCTCAGAAACCCTATGCCAGTCGCTTTGAGTTGAAACCTATTCCATGGCACACCACCACTACCACCATGAGCAGGAATCAACTAGAAGGCACTTGTAACAACACAATGTTTTGCAAGAGACAGTTTACCAACATGAAAGTTTTAGGCCACTAGAGGGCAACATTGTCCATAGAACAACTATGAGACTTACTAGCATGGAATGGGAATGTAGGACCATCCTCAGAGAATAAAACCAAATGAAAGCCCTTGTTATTGAGTCTATTCCTGCTTATGTTGTTGTTAAGTGCTGTCAGGTGTTATACAGACCAGAAAATTTTAACAAAATAAAATAAATTATTCCCGCAATCTAACAAAGCTATGATCCTTAAGGAGATGAGTCATAGATGCACAGAGTATGGAAGATTTCATTTAAATTTAGCCATGGAAAACTCATTCAATTTTAAAGAAAGTCATTGCACTTAAAAGAGAGCCCTGCTGGCATAGTGGGCTACAGATTGGGCTACTAACCACAAGGTTGGTAGTTGAAGTCCACCAGTCTCTTTGCAGGAGAAATATGAGGTTTTCTGCTCCCTAAAAGATTTACGGCATCGGAAACACTATACAGGGTCTGTTTTAGTCGAAACTGACTCTATAGCATACACCAACAACAATTGTTGTTTTTAGGTGCCATCGAGTTGAGTAACAACTCATAGCGACCTTATGCACAGCAGAACGAAACACTGCGTGATCCTAGGCTAACCTCACTACTGTTGCCACGCTTGAGTCCATGGATGCTGCCACCTGGCCAAGCCATCTCCTTGGGGGTCTTTCTCTTTTTCTCTGACCCTCCACCTTACCAAACATGATATCCTCCTCCAGCAACTGGTCCCTCCTGACAACATGTCCAAAGTATGAGAGACAAAGTTTGACCATCTTGGCCACCACGGAGCACTCTGGCTACGCTTCTTCCAGAACAGATCTATTGGTTCTTTTGGCAGCCCATGGCACTTTTAGTATTATCCTCCAGCACCATAACTCAAAGGCATCGATTCTTCTACAGTCTTCTTTATTCACTGTCCAGCTTTCGCATGCATATGAGGTGACTGAAAATAC